GACACCTAATATGTACGTATAAAATCCTTGCCATCTTATTCAGGAGGTTTGATAAGCACTAAATAATAACATTATAATAATGACTTTATTTCTGTAGCACCTTTAAAAAGAGTTAATAAAGTTCATAGGCAGACAAAGCACGAGCAGGATACTCAGAAGAACAACAGAAAGTAAAACAATAAGTCAGTTGAGTTGAAGGAGTTTTGTGCCGTCCAACAGTTGAGATCCCTAAAGAGACAATCTAAAGCACCTTGCCTTGTCACCAGGTCTCAGGGAAAGATAAATCTGTGTGTTGTCTGCATACGAAACGTGAGATTTGGCATTATATGATTTAGCATTGTGAAAGCATGTAGAAAAAAAAAAGTCTAGGTGCTGAACTGAAGATTTGGCACTGATTCCTATTGTCCTTTTAATATATATTATAGATTCAGTACTACACATTTTTAACTGCCTAATTCACAGTCAAAAAAGTCCTCATAACAAAATAGGCTGTTTAAAAAAATGTTGCAGTAAAGGTAATATGACTTAAAATATGTATTTCTCAGTGAGGACAATCTCACCTTTTGATGTAAGGGCAAGGAGATAAAAAAAATACTATTTCCCTTTACTTGTCTTTTCTTTTTTCTTGTCTTTTTTATATTAGGCTGCTTAAGTTGTCAGCAGCCTAATATAAACACACAAAAGTGAAAAGCCATGGAAAAGGCACATCACATTTATGCTTTGCAAGATTTTATTGATTGCTTTTGACTCTTCTATATACAATGTTTACCATGATAATAACTTAAATACTTTTTGTTATCTAATACAGTAAATGAATAAAGAATAATTACATAGTGTTACAATCTTTGGTCCAAATCATTTATATTATATAAACATGGGTTTTCTATACAAAATAATTGTACTTGTCTGTAATTGCTAAACTAAAGTATTGACATGATTAGTATCAACAAGTTTACGGTCATTATTAGTACAACCATATTTACATTTTTTGTTTTATAATATTTCAACTATGTGATATTTTACGATGATACCACTTTTACAATAACACTATAAATATTACAATATAAGTATACAATATAATAATATGTAAATACACAAATAATATTAATTTATTACAACAATAACAGATTATTGTACACATTAAAGATAATACAGGAGTAAGTGGCACCAAATGAGCACATATTGAATCTAAAAGTGTTTTATTTTAACAGATTTTCCTTTGCTCTGTTTCCATCTGTCATTACTTAGAGGAGCACACATCCTCCACCTTTGGCTGCCACATAGTTTGGGTCGAGGTCATTGGGAAGCTTGCCACCTTCTCCCCAGATATTCAGCTCTCCAAACACACCTGTCTCAATCATCTCCTCCTGCCAGGGGATTGGGATGTTGCCAGAAGCAAAGTCATTGTAGAATGCAGTGTCCGTGTCATCCAGCACCACACCTTTGATTGTGCTGAACGCGCCCACATCAGTAATATCTTTGGCATAGACCATTTTAGGATCAGGGACAAATGGTGGCGGTAGCATACCTTTAGATGGAACATAGAAGACAAACAAATTAAAGTATGGCATATACAAGAAGTGCCTATTATTTCCACACCCTTTTGCTGCTTAAATATTTTATAAGGATTTCTATAGAAGATTTTTGCACGTGGGTAATTTAGTAGATATTGCCCACCTGCTTCCAGACGGCCCCAGTTAATTTCTTTGAAGAAGGGCTGATTCTTGAGCTCCTCGCAGTCATTATTTTTGAAGCCAAGGCGTTTTGCTGGATCCTTGGCCATCAGGCCTTCACAAAGATCCTTGCACTCTTTGCTAAAGTTTGGTGTATATGCAACTGGATCATTCAAGATTCGGCGAGCTACCTCCTCATTTTCAACCTAAAGAAAGAAAACATTTTGTTTGTATGATTTGTCAACAAAGAATCAACACTGGACGAGAGCAAGCAGGTGAATTGATTTTTGCCATTAAAAGTCACCTGATGTATCTGCTCTACACATTTAGTACCTTCTCTCCTCGTATTCTAAAGGGTCCTTTGGCTGCGATCATCTCAAACAAGGTGACTCCAAGAGTAAAATAGTCCACTGAGTAGTCATACTCCTTCTTCTGGAGCAACTCTGGAGCCATGAAACCTATAGTCATAGACAACATGACTGCTTAGAAAAACGTGGCTGACATAGTGGTACAGTAACACTGCCCTGAATGATAGCCTTTCCTCTCTACTTGGCCAGTTGTGTTTAACTTGATCTTAAAATATTGGATTTGTTCACTTACCTGGAGTTCCAGCATATCCAGTAGTTGTGCTTTTTTCTGGTGGAAGTTCAACAGCCAGACCCAAATCTGACAGGCGGACGTGTCCTGGGTGAAAAGGCTTTGATTACAATAGTTGCATACCCATTGCAGAGAACCAACTAGTATTTAAAAAATGTATTCACTCTGATGGATTGTGAATGCAAAATAGGACAATGCATTTGGTTATTAAAGTACATCAGTGCTGTAATAAACAACTTTGAAAGTTCCTGCTATGTTTTAAAGCAACGTTATTTTTCTGAACTGTAATTATCTCACTATGTGCTAATTATAATTTTAACGTGATTCCATTATATTATCTTACGCGTTTTATTGAACAAAACCTGCACCGGAGCATGCGATTGGTGAAGCATAAGTAACCATGGTGATCTACTCTGGTTAAAAGTGAGCCAGCAACATGGGTCAAGCAAGTTACCTGATTAACACACCAATGTAGCTTTGTGATACCCGCCACAAAGTGAATGTGTTGGAACAGAAACTTTGAGGGTGTAGCATCAGTGCATACTTTACATGCAGTGACATGAAAGGCTGCAGAGGAAATCGCTCACCTGCATCATCCAGCAGTACGTTCTCTGGTTTCAGGTCTCTGTAGATGATCCTGTGCTGGTGAAGGTGCTCCAGTCCACAGATGATCTGAGCTGTGTAGAAACGTGCTCTATTCTCATCAAAACCAGGATTTTTTTCATCCACATTGTACATATGAAACCTGTGAAACATGGGGGTAGGACATTATAGTATTTTCTGATGAAAGAAGAGAAGCTACTTAAGACTCCTTTAGTTATTCTCTGTATAGCATGATGCACCTGAGGGCCTAGTCTGTATATTAGCTGTGAGGTTTATCTACCTTAGGCTGATTAGTAGAGAGAGTACACTGTTCCCATGTTGTTAAGTACAGGAACCAGTATGTAGCATGTGTTTTAAAGGTACAGTGTTTTGGTTCATCTATGGATATCAGTGTGTGTGTGTGTGTAAAGATGTATTTGGTGTTTATATAGCGCACCTGAGATCGCCACCATTCATGATGGTCATAACTAGGCAGAGGTCAGTCTTGGTCTGGAAGGCATAAGCCAGCGTCACAATAAAGCGACTGTGGACTTTTGCAAGGATACGCTTTTCCACAATTGCTCCCTAAACACAAATCAAACATCAGAACATGATTAGCCCAACAAAACCAAGAATGTACAATGTCAACAATTACACACCTGCTGTCCAGCCACATAGGTAAATTGATTAGACCTCTACTCTCATTCGTTCTTATTCAACTTTTCAAACACAGGTCCTTGCATTTCATGTGGGTGTGACCGATATGTGGCCTGATCTAGCCGTTTTCACATTATTCATTTTGATATGTCACAGTAGGAAAAGAATAGGTGGTAACATTCATAATGCAAGTAAGGTATCCAGGTTTACAGTTCTCAGGTGCCTGGTATTTTAAATGCTGTCACTCTGGCATGGCTTGCTCAAGGGGTGGCTAACCATGTGCCATGACGAGCCCTCAGTCTGCAGGTTTTCGTTCCAACCATACATGTAAACTTGGCTCTCTGTGACACATAAATATACATTTGTAAGATGTAAATAAGCTGTTGTAAATGTTATTATTTAAATCTGTGCTTTTCTTTGTATAACAAGTCAAAATGTCTGTTTTTCTATTCTACATACTACCTTACTGACACTGACACTAGTTACATCTGTGCTTTGAGGAATAGGTATATTCTTCTGAGTACATGCAGGTACAACCATAGCTGAAAAACCCAGTTTGGGTGTGCAGGGTATTTAACATACTGCAGCAGATTTAATGAAGAGGACACACTTGGTGTGGTTCTTTTGATGGAACAAAATGTATGCCTTGTTACAGTGCTGCCCTAATGCCAAGGTTCATTATCCACTGATGCTTTTAGAAGCAGTGGGCTTCAGTCCGGTGTACTGTACTGAGCTGCTTTGTGAGGTCTTTAAGAGAGTTATAAGCTTCTTTGCATTTAGCCATTGTGGTAAAAAGTAAACCTCTGCTGTCTGTGGGTAATATTCTTTCAAAGCCTGTTCTGTCTTATTTCAAGCTGTAGATCATTGAATGAGCCCACTTTGTGTTCGTACTCTTTTGACTGACACTATGATTTGCTATGGGTAGGACATTAGATGCCACATCAGTGATTTACCTGGTAGCCTTTGCGTTTCTTCAGCCTCTTTTTCTCCAGCTTCTTGTTGGCATACATTTTGCCGGTTGCTTTAGCCTGACAAGCAAACACTTCCCCAAAACCTCCTTTACCCAGGACCCTGAAGTCCATGAACCACTCCTCATCAACAGCCTGGCTCTCCAGCCATTTGAACTGAACAAAACGCAGGAAGTACATGCTGGTCTTAAAGCCCTCTATGGCCTTCTGCTCCAGGTGTTTCAGCAGCTGCTGCTCACTCTCTTTAAACAGGTCACCACGGACGTTCTTGAAGTCTTCCTTCACTCGAGTGACAGCCTTCTCCTCCAGAAAGCTGCAAAAATTCTTGGATGATGACTCATAGTATTTATTGATTATTTTTTGGGCCTTCTGCACTCTGTCCTTCTCTTGGCATACGCTGTAGTCTTCCATGTCTTTCCACAGGTCTCCGGTATTTTTATGGGTGGCTTCACTGTCTAGATACTGCTGGAACAAGCGCTTGCCAATGGGCTGTTTGACACACATGCTGTCAAAGGTTGTATCTACTGATGCCTTCATGTGTTCACAATCTCTGATGTGTGGGAGATTCAGCCTGGCGCGCATCTTCTTGTCACGCATGGCAGCTGCTGCAGCTCCATCCACGCTGCCACGGGCGGAGACATAGGCAGAGTTTGCCACCACTGTCTCCAAACCACCGAGGTCCATGGCTGCACCTTTGTCTGGGACACACAAAACCAGTTAGGAAGTTAATGAGAGTGCTGAATAATGTCTGATTTTCAGTTGATTTTACATTGTAACCATGATGTGTTGTGACAATATTTATCACTTCTAATTTCCTTCACCTTCCATGTTTTGTCATGTCTTATCAGCTTCTAGTCCTTAACACCAGCATCCAAACTAGTGTAACACACTCTGTCTGATGATAGCAGAGTCTTGACATTTTTAATACAAAGAAAATCTTTTTGGGATGCATTTTGATTAAATCCGCCATCATATTTTATCCTTAATGTTGCTACTCTGCTTTTACAGTATTTTTTTTACATTATTACAATGTTTGTCATTAGTATTGAGTTCATTCCATTGGTTATTTTCTACTTTTTCAGTATACTAATTCCCCCTGTGTACCTCCTATACAGACCATGTGCAGTCACTGCTCAAGAGAACAACAGAAATAGTAAACAAATGTTTCCTTGTAAGAAAATATAGAAAGCGGGGATCGAATAATGTTGTGCTATGCTGCACCCTGCTGTTCAAAAGACAAAAGTGTCTGCAGAGGGATATCAGATGCTACAGACAGGGCACGAAAATAAGCTTGTGCGCACTTGCATGTGCTCACACTCATGCAAACAGGGGATTTGGGGAGCTGCAAGGCCTGGAAGGAGAGCATTAGCTCACAGTGGGCCCAAGGTCCTTTCACTTCCTCAGCCTGGTTCCTTTTTGTCTTTTCAATGCTGCAGATGACCTCATTTTAACTATTTTTCAATTCCAATTGATTGCAATTTTAAATCTATTGCAATCATATATTGGCCTGCTTTTGTTGTATTCTTGTTTATTCAAACCTACAGTTGAGATTAATTATCTGTATCTCTTGATGTATCTTTTAACATTGGTGCAAAAAAGTGATTCAAGAAAGAAGCTTTTATTTGTGAATTCTGATACTGAAACCAAGAACATTCATCTTGGATCATGAATGTATTAGATTGTGCAAAAGATAAAATATGCAATGAAACATTATTTCATCTATCTGTATGCAGGGCCCTTTTCTTGCAGTAACACATACAAAAAAGCATCTTCCTGCAGTAAAATGGGACAGGAAATGTAAATTGGATCACAGGATTGCTGTGTTAAGTCTTTCTGGGTGAACATTTTATGTCTATAAGCTGCTCCGTCTTGTCCTGGTACTACATATAGTACTGAAAGTGATACAGTTGGCTGCGTAGGTGCTTTCCTGACTCTAAATAATCCAATTAACACTGACTGTTGATACCAGAGATTTAGATATAGATAATTGACCTTCTTGTTAAAAAATACATTTTCATACTTTTTTTAAATGTGTTTAAACACTTAAACAAAAGTGATGATGATTTTATTGCAGTTAAAATATTATTGTTATATGTTATTGTACTGTTGTCACTCTTACTAAATCAAAGGAATATAATATAATTAAAATCTAGAAAATAGAGAAATTTGGCCAAATTAAGTTGATGTCAGGGTTTAGTTTTTAATACTGAATTATGAAATGTTATTTATTATGAAATCTCTATTGAGGGAATATTTAACATGTAACATTTAATTGTCACAGCCATATCAATAAATAGAAAGATAGTACTTTTTTAAAAGGTTGATCATATACAATTAATATTGATATAGCAGCACTCACCGTACTTTCTTGCTGTATCAGGGTGTCAAATGAGGACTCTTCTTTGCTCCTTGTTTTTCCATCAACCAGAACAAAAAAAAAATCTAATCTGTCCTGTCAAGGTCTTCAACACGTTTTCTTTCAAGTTGCCAACCTTCCTTCCCCTGCAGTTTAGTATGTTGAAAAGGTTGGGGCATCAGGTCGAGGTTTACCCTGCACCTGAAATCCTACTTGGTTCATTAGCTGGTGAGGATTACACCCTAACGTTATTGGAGGGAGCAACTCGGCAGAAGCTATTAGTGTAACGCAGCAGCAGGCGTGATTACTGATGAAGAATCCTGTGCTAACTCAACAGACATCATTCAACTGTACAACACAGAATTCATGCTTGGTTTAGAGGAGAGCATATGATTATGATTTTTGACTCTTAATACTGTTCTTGATTGATAATTGTCCTATTTTCCTTTTCCTTAACCAAGCGTTTTCCAATATTTTGAATCATACCAATGAGAAATAATGAACTCAGAGTTATATAGCAAAGTAAAATCACCACAAGTCTGATTTCATTTTCACACACAATCTGTTGACTGACAGAAGTAGACTTCAAATCCAAAGTGGATTGTCTCCATAGGTGTCGAAGAGCAAACAGTGCTGTAAGTCTTTGAATTACTGTTTTGCATGTCTGTTTGAACTCCATTGTATGATAAAATGCTGCTTATTCTCATTGTAGATGCTGCATGTGATTCCAGGTCTATACAAACATATTCAGAGAGAGATATTATGTGGGTACGTTTCAGGTGAGAGGATTTAGTGGGTGGTTAAGGAAACGGAGAAGAGGGATTTAGATCATACAGCTAAAGAGGACTGTTTGACAGACATGTCAAACAGTCTCCTAGATAGGAGATGAAATAATTGGTAATTTATTATCATTATTATCACAAACACAAAGCTGTTTGCATCAGTGTTGTTGCTGGAAGTAGGGCGTTTAATTAATGAATTTCCACTCATTTAATTATAAGTGGAAAAGGAGCTGGCTGCACTGTCACACTGTGGTGTGTATAGGCACATTAACACACAATGAGCCAGCTAGGAGGTAATTTGAGGTATTTTACAATTGCTTCATTTCACTTTTAACAACAGAGTTTTGGGTTGCATAGCACCTAATGCAAGATGGTATACTCTTAATTTTGGCAGTAAATCCTTCTTCAACAGTTTCCCTTTTCTCCTCTGTGTTGTCCACATTCTTTTTTATTTTCAAGATATATATATACTATTTCAGACACTTGTTAGTTCAAACGTCTAGAATACAGTAATGCTGGACAACATGTAATATTAACCTTTCGATAATATGAGGTTTCTGCATTCTGAGTTTGTGATGTGAGTTTTACATTTTGTTTGCATATTCAGCATTTTGTGTGTAAAGGAAATAATTTAGCAAGTCAGTTTGGCTCTTTGCATTAAGAGCTTGGTACACTGAAACCTGAAAAAGCAATTGTAAAATACTGT